GGTACCAACATTCTTCTCCTTCCGTAACAGGAGGTGCGGGCTCAGCATGATATCTCTCAAACACCTTCTGCATAAAGTCTACAAAGTGCTTTTTCATCTCAGGCTTCTGGTTCAAATTGCGATTTAAAGAAACAAACCGTGATTCTGCGTGTAGCCTATTGTTTGGTAGTCTCTTTCTTGGGGTATGAAATGGTAGAGGTGCTACCCAACTGTTGGAATCATCTTGGTAAAACTCTTTACTCATGGTTTTCAAGAATTCTTTGTCTTCTCTATGGTCGCTTCATTGTCTTTAGTGGTTACCTTGAACACTGTGTTGCCGATGTTGTCATCCCAGAGATTAAGAGCTTTCTTATTGTCTTGTATGCTGTGCCGTTGTGCACCTTTTCCAAACAGTCTTTCTTTCATGATATATTTATATGGTTGTTGTGCAGAACAAGTTGTTTGTCCATTTGACAGGACATGTGTTTTAAAGGAAGAGACTGAGTAGGACCTCCTGTCCTTGTCTAGGCAGCATTGCCTATGATGAACCATCCTAGATCCAGATGCTGAGCATATGGTGCATTGTGTGGACCGTTGATTTGATGACGAACTTTATGCACTCTTAAGATGTCTCGACCGAGTAACAGCAGGATATCGGCACTTCATTGAGAGTTGGTATTTGGTTGGCTATGTGCTTTAAGTGAGAATGGTGCAAAGCCGCTTCAGGAGTAGGGATCTCCTCTTTGATGCTTGGAATCTGGCTGCACTCAGTGATAGTGGGCAAAGATATTTCCACATTGTCATTCAGAGGAGCAACTACAAGACCACTGGCTCTCCTACCTAAGACTTCTGTAGTGCTGGAACAAGTGCTTAGAGTATAAGGTAGAGCATCTCCAGTTATGTTCAACAGTTCAAAAAACTGAGTTCTTGCAAGAGATCTGTTACTCTGATCATCCAGAATAGTATACAGTCTTATGGCCTTTTCAGGTTGACCTTTGGGGTACACACATACCAAGCATATCTTTGCACAGGATTTCTCCCTGTATAATTCTCCACAGACCATCTTGAATTCCATATGGTAGCTTGAGAACAATAGATTTGATGCCGTGAGAGGTGTCAAGGTAACTGAGACCAGGTAAATTGATGTCAGCCGTAGCAAGTTGAAGCTCTAATAGAACATCGCTGAGTTCTTGAAACTTTAGATTGTCATTAGCAGAAATCCTTGGAAAGCTTTGCAACCTTTTGAATAAAGCTTCTTCAATGGCCTCTGGGATGCAAAAGGTATGTTCAAGTCTGCCCCAAGCAGCATTAAGGCCTGCAGCAAGGTTGCCAATATGAACTGCTTTGAGCCTCTTGATGCGTTCAGTGGACTGGGGACCTAGCCATCTGATGAGTAGATCTAATTCCTCTGTGGCATTGATGTCTAGGTCACTCATTGTGGCCTTGAAAGTGGATTTCCAGCCTCTGTAATTTTCAGGCTTATCATCAAACTTGGTGAGGCCTGTCTTAACAAGCTCTCTGCAGAGCATGTATTTAGCAAACTGTGACATGTCCGTGTTTTCAGATTTTGAGTGCATGATTGCAAGTGGAACAGAGTTGGTTGTGACAGTTGGTGGACTTGCGTGGAGTGACTTGGGAGCTGCTAAGGCATTCAATGCCGGAACTGGCTTAAAGTCCATTGGCTTGTTGGTTTGTCGAGTAGTGCCTTTGCTAGGAGGTACTCTGTTGGTGCCCAAGTAAGGTGGATGGTCTATTAAATACATACCAGTGCCTGCAGCTAACTGAGATGCTGCAGTCTGATGTGTTGGAGGATATAAGGGCAAATTGCCTTGAGGTACAGTAGGTGCAGAGAAGAGACTTTGATTGAGTACTTTGGCTGTTGTGACAGGGAGTTGACGTTCTGGAGAGGAGAGTGAAGAATCTGAGACATAAGATACAACTGAGTGTCTGGAACTGTTGTCTCTTTCATTTTCACTAGCGGCTTGTTCTAAGACCCTTAACCTTGCCATGGCTGTGGCATGCTCACATTGTTTTTCCAAAACTGCAATTTCTGCCTTTTGGCGTGTGGCTTCAGCTTCTTTCTCTGCTTTCTTATCTGCGTCCTGAGCCTCCATTTCTGCTTTCTTATATGCGTCCTGAGCTTCTATTTCTGCCTTCTTATGTGCGGCCTGAGCTTCCATTTCTGCGGCCTGAGCATCCATTTCTGCTTTTTATATGCGGCCTGAGCCTCAATTTCTGCTTTCTTCTCTGCGGCCTGAGCCTCCATTTGTGCGGCCTAAGCCTCCATTTCTGCTTTCTTATGTGTGGCCTGAGCCTCTATTTCTGCTTTCCTATGTGCGGCCTGAGTCTCTATTTCTGCCTTCTCATGTGCGGCCTGAGACTCTATTTCTGCAGCCTGAGCCTCTATTTCTGCTTTCTTATGTGCGGCCTGAGCCTTCATTTGTGCGGCCTGAGCCTCCATTTCTGCTTTCTTATGTGCGGCCTGAGCCTGATTGTAGGGATTTGGAAGATCTTGAGGAGCGATAAGATCTGGATTCATGGAGCTGTGTTATTCTCACTTCTGCCTTTGTCTTTGTTTGCACCACTAAATTGTCTCTTTCAAGATTGAGCTCCTCAAAACTCATTAATTCTTCCAATGACCTTTGAGTGTTGTACCGCTTTAAGAGAGCAATATAGTTAACACACAGTCTTTAATAATTCTCATAAGCAACATTCAATTGCTGGACCTCTAGTTGTATTGGCTCATGAGGTTGTTGGGAGAGAGCAGACATGCATTTAACAGTATTAGACCATAAGTCATTAATATTAGACAGCAATTCTTCCTTGTCAGCATTAAGATTCTCTTGCACCTTCCAGGTTGGTTTTGTTAAGCGTTTTTCTCTTTTATCTAATTCAGGGTTTAAGTTCTGCTCTGGATGAAGCTCTGATTGTGGTTGTGTATTAGTTTCCCCAGACTGTATATTACTTTCCTGAAACATCATGATAGCAAGGAGAGGGGTTGATAGAAAAGTTTACAGAGAAATGTATAAATTTTTCTGTGGGTGAGCTCAGGTTTCCTAGGCAATGATTGCAGAAAAGTTTTTTCACTTTCTTACAAGATTTCACAGACAAGCCATGCGCTAATGCATACAGATGCATTGAATAAACTTGCAGTTGTAAAACATTCACATCAATAATTTGTCCTAACACTGATGAGTGTTATGCTGAGATACACTTGCAGACATGTACAGGCTTGTGTAGATTGCTGCACTCTCTGTTAGCTGTGCATATAACATCTCACTGTGTATTCAAAGCTACCAAGGATCCTATGAAGACATTTCACTGATCTTTTGACTGTTCTAAGCACTGAAAGTGTGATCTCTGTAACTTACAGTTGTGATGACATAGCGATAACTCCAATCTTAGTTGAATAACACAGGAAGTGACTCAATCCAGATGACATCTTGTAGATCTTGTGAAGTTTATTCCATAAACTGAGAGAATCTTACAACAATGAACATCGGGATAGGTCAAAAGATCATAATGTGATCTGCTTCCATAAGACATGAGGCTAGAGGCTGAAATGCTTTACTGGGAAAGGGGGTGGGCTATCTATACAGCATGATCTAAACCAGAGGAAAGGGAGGAGCAGAGACAATATACACAGAATACTTAAAGGCATATGACAGTCATGTGAAACATGACACTTATCATTGTTAATTATCACAGCACAGGGGTTTATACTGTTGAAAGAAAAAAGGGGGTCCGATTTTATGTATAAAGTATAAAAATAAAATAAAGAAGGGATCAGACACTATGTATAAAATATTACTAAAATGTCAAAAAAAGGAATAGGTCCAGCATGCCCATTCCTTTTGCAACTTCCAGTCCTCTTTGCCACACTGACCTGTCCTGAAGCTGGAACTGTGTGAAGGAAGCACCCAGGAAAGTCATCTTGGGGTTCATTCACTAAAGGCAAATAGACTGCGCACTTTGCAAGTGCAGTTGCTTCAGAGGTGAAGAGGTAAATGAGGTGAAGCTTCACTTTGTAAAGAATATCCAAACACATGCAAGGACAAAAAAAAAACAGCATTTCCTCCATGATTGGAGGAAGTCAGCAGCACTTTCAATCATTTACTAAGCTCTGGAGCAACTGTCTAATTGTCTTTAGTAAATCAACCCCACTGTCTAAGCCCTGCAGACTCTCCTTTACAGGAATTATGTGAGATCAACACGTGTGGACTACACCAAACAAAAAGTAGGATTGGCAATAAAAATAATTGATGAAAAGCAGCAGTATCTATCCTCCCGCTGACAACCATCAAGAGAATGAGTTCTGGTGTACAGCTGCTGTGCGAATATTGAGGCATGGAATAGAACACATATATGTTTGGAAACCAATCAGCCACCAGCTTTCAGGGCCCATTCACATTACTACGTTGATGAACAAACATTACTGCAACCCGTGGCAACAATGCCAATTGGTGTGATGCAAGACCATTAGTTTTTAGTGGCACCCCAACACACCTTGCCAATGGACGGACATGTGGGTTGCAGTGCAGCATGTGGCAATGCTCTAAAATACATTCACCATTTGTGTTGTGTCTTTGTGGGCTAGGCAGCCTATTCAAATGAATAGAACTCAAAGAGGAACTGAACCCAAAAATTAAACGCGGACAGGCAGGGTCTTTTATGACAGATGAGAGCCTAATCGGTCTCTTCTATCTTTAAAGTATTACTAAACCCACAACAGTAAAATCAGTCTGTATATGCAGTAAAACATGCTTATTATACTCACTGTGGAACCTAAGGGGTTAATCCTCCATATTGTGTAAAAAGGCTGCTTGATCCTGTCTTCTCTGATCCTCCCCTTTTTCTGCTGTCCCCAATCCATCTGCTGATAGTACAGAGCTCTAAGATTCATTCTGCACATGCTCAGTTTAGTGTGTATTTCTTTGTGAGGGTGCATGTGATCAGCACAGGGCCAATCATCACTGTCCAAAGACAGAGGGTCAGGGGTTATGCAGTCTCATTGGACAGTCAGAACAAAATGGAAACTCCTCCTACAATCTTTAACCACTGCTCTGCTGGATACTGATATAAGTCACAAGACTGTTATATGTTATATACTACTGATGAGAAAAGGTCTTCAGCAGTTTATAGTTACTAAAATAATTGCATTTCCATGTGTGTGTACTGTGGGAGACCAGATATAGTGAATGCATGGTCCTGGGTTTAGTAACACTTTAATGCTTCCCTCTCTGCCTGTCAGTGTTAATGTACATTGAGCTACACATGAGCAGCTCAGCATATATTTTTATGACACCCTGATGTGTCCATACATGGAAGTGGCATCATCACAGTGTGGCCAATCGAATGGCCGAACAGACTGAACCCAGAAGAAAGATCGGGAGAAAATGGAAGCGCCCATAAATAGCAGGAATGTTGCAGGGCCTCGTTTGAAAGGTAAGTTGGTTATAATGTGCCAATAGACAGTACATACTAGCACATTATGGCTAAACTGGCTGCACAAGGAATTCCTCCATGCCGTGCACCCATGGGAATCAACTTTTTATTGGAAGCACCAGCAAGAGTGGAGGAGCAACGGCGGGGGACCCAAGAAGAGGAGGATCAGGGCCGCTCTGTGCAATCCTACTGCACAGAGCAGGTAAGTATAGACATGTTTGTTTGTTTTATTTCCTTTACAACCACTCTAATAATAATAAAAAAAAATAGCAGAGTTTAAATTCTGCTTTAACATAGCATGTGTTAACATGTGTTATGCACCTCAACTGTGTGAATGAGCTCTTAATGTTCTGACCATTGTAAAGAGATACAAGGTAAAATCTTACTGGTGCTAATGGTTAACATCACCCATAATATGGGGTTGATTTACTAAAGCAGGAGAGTCCAAAATCTGGTGCAGCTCTGCATAGAAACCAATCAGCTCTTTTTTTGTCAATGCTTAATTGAAAAAGCTGAAGTTAGAAGCTGATTGGCTACCATGCACAGCTGCACCAGATTTTGGACTCTGCTGCTTTAGTAAATCAACCCCTATGTGTCAATTTGTCAACAAACATGAACAACAATGGTGTCATTCTGAGAATCAGTACAGTTGTCACTGACAGCATGTAGTGAAAAATACTGAATAAAGAGATTTTCTGAAATTTTTTTCTCAATCTTTCTCAATTTTTTTCTCAAGCTTTCAATCGTTTCCAGGCAGAACGTTTGTTTAATAATTTGCTAAATGTACACAGTGATCAGAAATGACAAACAATTCACATGAACTTGTGTAAGTTCAACAAAATTAGGGTTTATGTATCTGAACCCAAGGCTCGCTAGCAACAATTTCAATATACAATTTTTGGGGAAAAGGAAGAACTGGTCTGGTTATGGTGCTCTGGTGTGTGGAGACTCACACACAGTCATAGCTCAGACAGACAGGAGCAAAAAGCAAACCAAATGGTAAAAGAGTCCAAATCACTTTCACAATTCACAGTAAGGTCACATAAAACAGCCAACACGTTTTGGGGACCCAAATCAGGGCTACAAATAACTATGAATATAAATAAAAATAAATATAGACATTATAAAAATAGATATCCATATATTTAATATAAATACATATATAGATAATCATAGAATTAATCTATAAACCTAGAATTGGAAGCTTAAGAAATGTAAAAAAAACAATGATACATCAAAGCCGATTCTCACCCGATAAAAGAACGCAAGCTTAAAGTGGTATTAAACCATAAAATAAAAATGTAACATATTCAGGGATATTCAATTTATATCGTCAGGGACATGTAGTAGCCGGGCACCAGGCAGGTAGTTTTTTTTATCCTTCAGCCCTGCTGCGGGCAAGCAGCATGGCTCATCTGTCAGGTGGGAGCATTCAGGCTGCAGCGCTACTGCCGATTGCTTCCACACAGTGACAGCCTCCCCTCCAACCTGTGTGAAACGCCCACTGTCTCCCGGGCTCCTCTTGCACATCTGCAGGCCTGGGATCGGCTCACCGCTGTCAGCTAGAGGGGAGGGAGGAGACGGACACCTCCGCTCCCCTCCCTTTCTTGTCCTGACCTGAAAGTGACGTTATGATGTCACTTCCGGGTTCGCGTTCAAAGATTTCTCAGCCATTGAGGTCAGGAAAGAATGTAATGTAGTTCAATGTGCACTGCATTACATTCATGGGAGGAATCCAGTGTGTTTTAGACCTTGGATGTCTCAATAAAGAGAACCTGTCACCAAAAATCATCACATATCCCCTATGTGATGGGGAAAAAAATTAAGTAAAGAAAAAAAAAGTTTTATAAAACATTAAAGTTACACCCAAGAGCTTAACATCCCCCCCCCCCCCCACCCACACACACACATATACACACGTACAAATACAAAAGCAAACGCTGGGGCACCTACGTATGAAAACATAGATTGCGATACACATGTTACATATTGTTGCGCATGCCAGAGTGAGCAATAATTCTAGCACCATTCTCTGTAACACTATATTGATGACCTAGAAGGGGTTTTAAAAGTGTCGCCTATAGAAAATATGGAGTACTGAAGTTCGTTGCCATTTCACGAGCAAAGCACAAATTTAAGGTTTGAGATGTTGGATATCTATTTACTCGGTGCAACCTCGTCTTTTATATTTTACCAAAAAAATAGGGTAATTTATTGCTTTTTTGTGCCCTAAAATTAACTTGTATTTTTTACTGAAATTTTGCATTTCCAAGACCTTTGTGGCAATATCGTGTGACATAAAAAATTGGAACTACCGCTATTTAATTCTCTAGGGTCTCTGCTTTCAGAAAATATATAATGTTTGGGGGTTTTGTGTAATCTTCAGGCCTAAAAGTATTTTTTAAACTTGTGCAAAAAACGCAAAACCAGCTCTGGAAGTGAAAGTGATAAAGGATAAGCTGGACACTCCCATTTCCTAACAAACACTCAATCTGTGCTCATTGCACTGCAATGTGTCTCCCCTCCCTGCTAGTCCCTGAGTGCAGTGCTGGAGATGGGCAGGGCGGGGAGGAGGAGATAAACTGCGCAATGTTAAAATTATTACACGTTTAAGTCGCCATAAAGTCCCTTTTGATTTTAAAAGCCCCAGACATTCCATAAAAGCACCTCAGATTTAAATACGATTTTGGTTCAAATGTATCTTTTTTTTTATCTGGACAAGTAGATTGTCATGAGGGACAAGTAGATTGGGACACCGATTTAGTCCTTGGACATGTAGTTTTTAAAAAATTTCCACACCACTGATATTGCACTTTGCCAATCCAAAGCACCTAGTGTGATTTTTGGCTTTCCTTTCATTCTTCTGGTATCTGCATAAGTCATTTCTTGTCATTTATCATGACACCAGACAATCTTGGGAGATGGCCCCACCACTCTAGCACACAGCGAGGGGTTGACGGACTAAGCTGTGCATGTTTCCCTATGAGACTGTGTGGAGGGGGGGGTGTCCTTTCCGTCCACTCAAGTCTCGGATTACACTTAGTTTTCTGGTCTATGCTGTGTTGTGTGTGACATTTGGTCCACAGCCCCTGCCTTAAAAATGATTTGAACGGCTCTGGAGAACAGACTGCTGCAGATAAACACGTACACTTAGGTACAACTTAGGAGGATTTGTTTAATCTCTGTGTATCACCTAAGGCCAGTCACTTAAGTGAGTATATGTAAGGGTTTGCAACCACTTTAAAGTAAATGTTTTTCATAATACAGATACTAAAAACATATCTTACTTGCATTTATGTTTTGTTTTTTAAATTCCCCACTGAGCTTCCTTTTAAAACTGTCGCCCAGCCATGCTGTCACACTCCCTTTAGATTTGTGCCACCGAGAGTCCTGGGAACGTCTCCTCTATGTATTCGCTCCTGCTGACAACTACAACTATACATGCAGCTTTTCAGAGAACCGTACATACAGGCAGTGCAAAAGGAACACAGAGCCACTGTCAATCACTGCTGTGGAGGAAGAGGAGAGGAGTGGCACTGTGTCACTCTGGCACTGCCTGGGTTTGTGGAACTCTGAACGGCTACACGTACAGTTGTAGGTTTTTATTTTTGTATTTCATTGGTTTTATTAACTTTTGTAAACAATTTAAACAAGGATTAGAGCAAAAAACACACCCACGCAGTGGTTATTAATGTTACATAAAAATTAAATAGATCAGTACTGTAACTCCAACAATGCAAGAGGCGCCACGTAGCGGCTATCAATAGCACATAAAATACAGAAACAGTGATATAACACCAACAAAAATTCCAGCCAAAGGCATGTATCACATTATCAAACACAAAAGAAAGAGGAAAAAAAAGAGTAAAGGAAGAAGAAAACAGGACCAGAAGCAGGGATCCGGGAATGCCAATACCACACAGCATCATAAGCCCAGACTAGCCGGGGGGGAGCGCGGGAAGAGCATATGTCAACCACGGCTCCCACATTTTCAAAAATGTTCATTGGGAGTCATTAGGGATAATCGACATCTGTTCATTGAACATCAGAGTGGTCATTCGGTCCCACACTACCCTGAAGAGGGACTCTTCCATGCCTGGGTAATTGTTCTAGTGGCTGACAGAAACAAACAGGAAGCCAACTTCTGCTGATGAGCCAACAGGCCCGGTATGAGACAATGAAGCAAAGCACACTGAGCCTCCCAGCGTATGGAGAGATGGAACAAGGTGTAAAGAAGGCCAAAAACACAAGACCAAAAACGAATCAGTCTCGGGCATGACCACCATATATGAAACACATCTCCACGATGGCCGCAACCCCGAAAGCAGCGATCACTATAGGCAGGGTTCACCTGGTCTATACGTGCTGGGACCCAATACCAACGAAAGAGTACTTTGTATGCCGCGTGGCTGTATTAAATGAACATTTACCTACAAACGACCAGGCCTTATTCCAGTTCTCCAGATCCACAACTCAAGTCGCGCTTGCACTGGACAACATATGATAGAGAAGTACGCATTGAGCGCCTATTCAAGGATGCATAGAATAGGGAAACAAGACCCGGGGTGCCCGGATGCTGTTGGCAAAGCTGTTCAAAGGCTGATTTCTAATATGGAATGGCGGAAGTGCCACGCAGTGAGGTCAACCTATCCAGGACAGGTTCGGGAATTGCCAAGACTGCATAAGGGAGGACATATAGCAAAGCAATGGATAATAATTTGCAGTAAACAAAGAGCCATAAGTGGGGGTCAGGTGAATGCCCA